TGTGTTTATGTTTAAAAATTCCACAAATCCAATTAGTTAGTTATATGTATTATCTGTCAATAAGATTGTATTTTTTGGATTCAGTGTTCGAAAGGTTAATAATTGTGATAGTTTCCGCAAACTCTTGACATAAAATTTTACAGAAAAAAGAGTTTTTATTAATAAGCAAAATGTAGCGTAGTAGTCGAAAAGTATAATATTAATAATATAATATATAATATAATAATAATATAATAATAATATTAATAATAATCACTGGAATAGACAACGTAGTAGTGGAAAAAGGGGAAAAATTGCAAGTTTTGCCTTCCACATCCAATCATCGTTGAGTAGAATAATTGACCATTCTCGTTTTACACCGAAGTGATTCTGGTTGATATTTCTTTGTTGGTCATATATTTCGAAAGAGATTTCATGAAATACCAAAAAGGACAGTTTGATTCGGGACATCACTTAATTCTTTCGAATGTTCATCAATGCAAAATAACTAACTAACTAACTTTTCAGTAATTGTAAATTCCGAATTGTTGTTGTTTTCAACATACTAATTGATTAATTAATTAACTAATTAATTAATTAGTCAAATAATCATAGTATCATTTTAATTTTGCTGAAAACAAAAAGAAATTCGATTCTATGTGTGGTTATTTTAGTTTTATCATGTAACTAGCGTTTTGAATTGAAACTGTAAAAATGTATGCCAATGTGTTGTATGATAACAGCCTAGAATCCTCAAAATTGCAAACAACCAACATAGTCGATTAAAATACACGAGGTATTTATTGACAGTTGTTGTTGTGTTCGTTTTCTGAATGCAATGAGAATGAATATTCACAAGAGTGGAGATACTTGAAGACATAAAAGCTGGTATATAAGATGTATATAAAGAAGTTATTTCGGCTTTCAGAGGCTGTAAATAAAGTCTTACTATTGTTTCTTGACAAATGTAGTAGTCTGATATAGTGAATCGAATAGCTGTCATCTCGGGATCACACTTTCTCTTCCAATCTCTCTTCGTCGTCTCATTTCCTGATGATTTCTAAGAATATTTGTCGTCTGACTTATTACACAAACAAGATGAGACTATCTGGAAAACCTCAGCCTCTTCTCTTACAATTTATCAATTCACGTATTCTACCCATTCTCCTTTATTCTTCACCATCATTATTCTTCCCTAGACCTCTCAAAAAAGACTATGCCATAATACGTTACGTATGTGGAACATTGAAGACTTCAGATGAGGTTGGTGATGTATCCTTTACTCAGCTAACTATCATCATTAAAATAATAATAATAATCTGCTTTATTCCAAAAACAGTACTTATAATACAGAATGGAATTCTCAGCATTCGTCACAATATTCCATCTGATTTACTTAAAAGATAAATAAGATTAAAAATTAAAACAAAAGTAGCCAGAGGAATTTGTCCACGTTTACGATATAAAGTCGAAAATATTCGAAGCACGAATTGAGATTATTAAATATAATAATAACAATCATAACAGTGAGTTTGCTTCAAACAGAATTTGTTGTCGATTGAGTTTGGAAATTTTATCATGTTATAGATTATTGCACCTAATGTTTTGTCTCTATAGCATGGTGATGGGAAAGACAAAATTAAGTTATAACACAGCTTAAATGGTGATTACACATATGAGAAGATAAATAAATGAAAAGAAAATATTGAGAGGAATATAAATATAAGAAGAACAGTAGCAATACAGCTTGGTGGAATGAGGATGGTGAAAATGGTTTATTTACTGGTGCAAAGAAGGTTGTTTAGTTGATGCCTGACACTATTTTCACCACGTAAAATACGTTCCAAATATGGTATCGTGGAATTTCTAGACATAGACGTACGTGCATAAAGTCTTCTGAAAAGACTTCTTGTTTTACCTGAGGAGACACGAGGTTGGAGCTGTGGGTAGAGTGTGGGTGCTCAGAGTCTGACAAAATTCCTTTAGCGAATTTGTTGCATGACATCAAGTGCCTTTCAGTGACAATGTCAACGACATGGCCCAATGGGATACCACTCGTCCTACTGACAGTCTTCAGAGTTCTGCGAAGTGTGGCATAGTCTTTTTTAAGCAATCCAGTAAGGTATAAGGATGAATAGTAAAAAAGAATAGGTAAGATGCAAGAGTTGACAAACTGTAAGAGGAGTGGTTGGGTTATGCGTGAGTGTCTTAACTTCTTAATGTAAAATGTCAGACGAAATATTCTTTTAGAAATCGGTAAGACATGGGAAGAGCAGGATAGGTGAGAAGAAAGAATTAATCCAAGATACTTAACTTCAGACTTGATTTCTACATCAGTATTATCAATTCTGCAAAGGTCGATAGGCACTTCTATTCAATTCTGCAAGTGATTCGCTAAAATTATCTTGTCTGATACAGAACGTCCCCTTTATTCGAAACTTTTGTCTGGTATCTTTCCAGGTGAAAGCAGAAGGAACTTCATAAGAATCTACGCTCCTATAGCTACTAAATATGCAAATTCTACCACACCACCATATTTAGCACAGGTTTTGTGTGAAGAGAGTCAGGGAGAGAGAGAGAGAGAGTGACATGTCGGAAAACAACTTGTAAACTTTTCGAATCAGTAATCTGAACTGCAAAGTATAAGCAAAGATTATTTTTCAATGTATTTTCTATGATACTATCTACTTGTACTTCATTGTGTTTCCACCAACATTCTGTTTATAGTGGTGGTTTCATTACTCGTATTATTATTATTATTACTATTACTGTTTTAAATTTTCTGTATGTACATATTTACAAAAAGAGGTCAATTGTTGTGATATGTATAAAAACGCTGAAAATTCCAATCCGTATAGTTAATATTGTTGTTGTTGTTGTTTGGACTAAAGTGATTATTATTATTATTATTATAAGTCCTCTATAGTCGTATCCGTAGAATAATAGAATTACACACTGATTACTAAGAATGATTTTCAGATTGAATCATAAATAAATAGAAGGTGAGATCTGTTGACAATCGGCTTCTTATCTCTTTTACATATACATCACTATACATCACTTTTACATCACTGATTTTATCTAACATGGAGATGGAGCTTGAGATTGTTTAGATGCCTGAAAGTTGGTCAATGCACTCACTACCTGACCAGGGAAAAACACTTTGTCGTGAACAGTTATATACATGTATATGTATATATGCATATGATATTGACAGACCTGCTTTTTGTTTATTTAGGAAATGCAACCAATAACATTCACGCTTGAAATACCTTATTTAAGCGATGATCGGTTAAGAGCTGATCAAAATTCTCCACTTATTCAATTAGTTAAACTAATATACAATGTAAAAATTACTTTCCTCAATAATTATCCACTTAAAAACTGCAAAACTAGAATTAGTGTTCAAGGATTGGCAATCAATTCAATCAATACTGAAAAGGCTGTAAAGGTTATAATGAATGCATATTTATCTGAGAATAAGGTAAGTAGTTATTCATTATTCTGTTTGTTCTTCCAGTCTGTCATCATGTGAACAAAAACGGAACATTGATAACGGTTATTTTGCACAATATGACAATTTGAAAGGCAGAGAGTGAGAGAGAGTATGAGTGATTTCACTGCCTTGGAAACTGCATTTCGATTAGATTGATTAGTCATCCATATTAGTTATTTAAGCCGACTGAACAGGTTTCCATTTCGATCAACTGTATAACCTTCTTGAGTTGCTTTGTGGGCCTACATGCTAACACTGTTTATAAGATTGTTCTGTTTCCTATCTTCCCTTCTATTTTCAGAGCATATAAAGTGATGGCAAATTAAACCAAAAGGTGTGATGCTTATATTCCGGATGTATTGATTTTAAAATGTTTCCCTTACCACTGTTCAAACATTTAAAATGGTATTATCGTCATTGATTTTAACCCCTGTTATTTCAGGTAGTTTTCAGATGATTAGATCTGGCGAAATGAAATGATATCATTTTATACTGCAAATCTGGCCTTTCAATATTAAAACTTATCTAGGGGAACGAGATGTATGCAGTTTGAGATAGTTCATACAACGTGTTCTCTTGGTCATCTTCGTCAAGGGAAACAGAATGATTTGCAGTATAAAATGTGAATGTCTTATTTCGAGGCTTCTCTTCAGCTACAGGCAGCTTAAAGTAGTCATAGTATTAGTGAGGAAGGAATCTACACTTCCCACCCTCCCCACCAAACAGAACAAGTGGCAGTTTTACGAAATGACAAACAAAGTATTATGTGGTGATGATGGAAGACTATTCACCGAGCAAAATACGGGAAGGAGTTACGGGATAATGTGGAAGAAAGCGCTTATAAGTGTTCTGAAACAAATGAGTGGGTTACGTAAGATCAGTGGGTTAAAAAGACAGTAGTAGAAAAGAGAACACAAACACATAACGTGTGTTTTCCTAATGCAAATCGTGTATTAGGTTGAGTATTTATTACTAGAACAAGGTGAGATTAGTCATGGTTACTTTGTGTGTACTCAGACTGCGTTTAAATCGTTTGATAGAAATAGGGTTCACTTTTACACTCAGTCTATTTGAAGACTGTAGCCGTTTTCAGAATGAGTTGAAAATCATTTTTATAATCTCGAGACGTCTGTGTTTTCAAATGCGAAGTCAGTACACTGTTGATGAACTGGGCCTTGAAAGAGTGATACAGCTGTTCGATGTTTTGGTCGCTTCGATCTGCCTAGAAAGCAGTACTGATTGATGTGAGTGACATCGAACTACTCATACCAATCATTTAGTAGCGTATAACACCCTGAGAGTTTTATTGATTTGTTGTATGATAAAAGTCCTTCATGAGACAATCACCTGTTTACCAATTACTGTGAGCTTTCTTGGACGTGACTATCACATCAGATTTTTCAAGATCTAAATAACTGAATTGTAATTGAATGATGTCACTTTGTATAATATTCATTATCCTCATTTAGGATGGTTTCGAGGTCTACATGGACATGGCTATGGATTCTTATAATTCATTTGTATTATTCAATCAAATTTCACGAGAAGATTTAATTCAATTGGTTAAGAAGACTACTGATGCCAAAATATGTTATATTACTTCTTCTTCTTCTTTTCCTTCGTCTTCCTTACCCCACAATTCCAATTCAATACTACGGCCTCCATCCCCATCAATATCATTAAATCAACAAAAATATTATCAAGCATTATAAATTCTTCAAATATAAATCAGAATTCAAATATTTTAAAATCCAACTTAAATGACAAATACTCACCATCAACAAGTCAAGTTAATGATAAAATAAGCTTGAATGCGATTCATATATACGGCAAAGTCAATAGTCTTTTTTCAGCTAGACAACTGATAATGGTAAGTACAATTACGGGTTAATCATTACAGTTCAAACATGTCTGGATTATTAGATATCACGTTGATCGTTCTCATGTAATCAATGTTGAATAATTCACTTAATCATGGAGTAGTTGCTCACTGACTCATCTTGTTCTACTAAATGGTTCATATAAGTATTATTATTATTGCTCCTTTGGGTTCCAAGTGGAATATAGGGCTTCAACTTCACGTCTCCACTTGCCACTTCTGTCTTCCTTCTGCTGTACTTTTCACCTGAATCCATGTTACTCCATACTGTTTCAACTCCTCTTCACACGATTTCCTTCATGTCAACCTTGCTCTGACGTCCCACTCACCGCTTGCTTCCCTTTCGGCCTGGTTCCACTCGAGCAATGGCCTGACGCGCGCGCGATGTCACCAACCGGCCTCCTCAGCGAGCGAGTGTTCAATCCATCTCCACTTCCTCTTGCATATTTGTTGGTTGGCGATTGTTTCATTCTTGTTTTGTTTGTTCCCATAGTTTCTTGTTGGTGATTCTGTCCGGCCAGACTCGGCCATCTGATCTTCAGTATAGATCCAGCGAAGACAGTTGTTGGTTGATAAAGGTCTTCAACAAGCTGTTAGAAATATTCTTCGTGACCCGCCCGCCAAGTTTCTGATCCGTAAAGAAGAACTGACAGACTTGACGTTTGTATTGAAAATCCGAACGAATTTTGTTGTTGATTCTGGCTGAGTGACGAAGATTTCCAGATTGACTGTTTCAGGTTGATGAATGAATGTGTTTCTCGCCTGCCTGCCTTCCCGATTCTCACTCGATTTGATATCCTCGTCTGTTCCGACGGCCTGTAGTTGAGACAATGCTCCCTCCTAGATAAGTGAGTGAATGAAGTAACCTCTTTCAAATCCCTCCAGTGGATGGTGATTGTCGCTGGATGTTTCTGCTGTTGTTGTTGTTGTTGTTGTTGGTTATTTTCACAACCTCCGTCTTGTCTATGTTCACGTGGAGTCCGGTCTTCGCTGGCTGCTTCTTCGACCAGTTTGTCGGTTTTCGCTTGTAAGTCGTCGATTTTGTGTGACATCAAACATAAATCATCGCCGCGCGAAATCCAGGTCTTCCAGGTTCTTCGCTTCGGTCCAGGATATCCCTGTCCCGTTTCTTGTTTCCCACTCACTGTTTGACGCATAATCCAATCAGTCCACCACAATTAGGAATATCATCGTCGGTGATAATAAGCACCTTTGTCTGACTCCTGTGTTTACTCCAAACGCCTGGCTGAGTTTTCCGTTGTGGATCACTTGACATGTTCCGTTGTCGTACAGCTGTTGAATGAGGTTGATGAATATTTGGGGTACGCCATAGTACTCGAGTAGTTTCTAAATTTATTCGCTGACAACGTTGCACTGTCGAAGGCCTCCTCGAAGTCTATAAACTTGAGGTGGAGGTTTGATTGCCATTCCATGCTTTTTTCTGTGATAATGATGACGTGTAGAATCGCAATTTAATCAGTACATGATTTGCCTTTCCTGATTCCAGCTTGTTATGGTCGGAGTTGTGTATCCAGTGCGTCCTTCATTCTCTCCAGGATGATGCGACTCAGGATTTTACTTGGCGTTGACAGGAACATGATTCCTCGCCAGTTCTTGCAGAGTGAGTCCTAAGTCACCCTTCTTTGGTAGGTTCTCGAGGCAACCTTCCTTCCAGTCAGTAGGCACCTTTCCCTCCTTCCAGACCTTTCGCAATAATGGAGTCAGCATGCCTGCTATCGTCTCTGGGCCCGCTTTCAGTGCTTCAAGGTGTATTCCATCTGATCCAGCTGCTTTTCCAGCTTTCAGAAGCTTGATTGCATTCAGGATTTCAGCTTTCGTTGGAGGATTGGTGTCAACTTGCAGTTGTGTACGCGCTGTTGTTGGTATTTCTGGACGGGTTGCAGGTGATTGTCGGTTCGAGAGTCCTTTGAAGTGATCCGCCCATTGTTTAATTTGTCTTTTTTCTTTGGTAATGGGTTCCCTTGGTTGTCTTTTATAGGTTTCACTTGTGTTGATCTCTTCCCAGATAGAGACTTGGTTATCTGATATAGTGTCCTCAGGTCCCTTTTGCCTGCTGCCTTCTCAGTTTCAGTGGCCAGGTTGTCTTAGAATTGTCTTTGTCCTACCTAGCACTCTTCTTCACTTCTTTGTCCAGTGCTGTGTACGTTGAGCTCAGCGTCTCCTTATCCTGTCCGTTCTTGCATTGAATCATTTTCTCTTTCACCATTCTCCTCTCCTCTATTAGCTTCCAAGTGTCCGTTGAGAGCGATTCCTTGTCTTGTCTCTTCTTTCTTCCTAAAACCGTTGAACACGTTTCGTTGAGAATCACCTTCAGAGACTTCCAATGTTCTTCCATGCATGATTCTTCAGTGATGTCGCGTAGTGTTTCCTGCTTTGCTCTGACAGTTGCAGTGAAAGTGTCCTTTGTGTTTGTGTCCTTCAATAACCCCTGCTATCCTTGAGGCTTTTAGCTTCACCTTGAAAGTCCCTTGTACTAGATAGTGGTCTGAACCCACATCTGCTCCTCTCCTCGACCTTGTGTCCAGTAGACTCCGTCTCCATTTTCTTGAAACTGAGATGAAGTCTATTTGGTTCTTGATGTTTCCATCTGGTGAAATCCATGTCATCTTGTGTATATCCTTGTGTTTGAACACACTGCCGCCAATTACCAAATCATTATATGTATAACAAATGAAATTAAAAGGCATCATTATATTACAGGCTTTCGTACCAAAACACATATATAGCGCAGAAACAATACAGAGTCAAAAATGATGCTGAAACGTATGTTATATATAACAGATCACACGACGAAGACGGATTAAAAACCAAGTAAAAAGTTAAGGTAATTAGGTGCAAACGTTAAATAAACTGTTCAAGGAAATGTGGAATGATTTGAGGCATTGGACGTCAACAGTATCTCTCAATCCAGAGATGATTAAATTCGAATAAACAAAACGTTGTAAATTTTTGATGGTTGAAGGCTATTGGAAACAAGCTGTGGACCTAGGATATACGCTTATTGCTATCTACCCACATCTTGTTAAGTCTCAACAGCCACGTCAACGAGATCGATTCACGGTACGTACATTCTCGATTCTTATGCTTACTTTTGCTTTCATCATCATTATCGGTGGACTGACTGGCTTCCTTGGTGTAGTTTCTAGCTGCACATCCAACCTGACCTCTCATTTGTTTCATGTGAATAACTGAGTAAAATGTCGGCTTCACTTAAATTGTTTTTGTTTCTATTTTCCGAATTCCCTGAATCACCTACCATCCAACCATCATTATCTTGACGGCGATTAGATGTCACAGATGAAAATGTAGCTATGGGGGAGTATATCCTGTCTTACACTGTGTATTCACTTGTTTCTTTCTTTATTTATTCAGTTGAATTGAGTAGGTGACTGTGTAATTTCTTTTCAAGTCATTTGAGCAGGAATCTGAGTGTACGACAGATGACTTGTGTATTTGCCCATCATGGTCTTTACAATCACACCAGTTTTTCCACCTATTTTGATAATTCGAGATGAAATCGTCAGTTGGTAGAGAGCGTTCCACGTTGGCCAATCCTTCAATCTATCTGTCTATCTGAGAGTCTCTCTATTTATTTACTTATTTATTGGTCAAATGCCAATAAATAATCCGATAGAGTGAATGTCGTGGATCCGAATCCTGGCGGTTGGTGCGTACCACCACAGAGTGTCAAAGTAGGACGAGACAGCTGTCCAGTACTGCCATCTTCTCCAATGCTTCTGTAACCGACGTCAGTTGATGATGAAATCTTGTAACATGAGATGTGTTGGTTAAAGTATTCGAATTCATGGTGAAAAGTGAATGTGAATTCGATCTCATTGATAATACTTCGTCTTTGAATAACTTAGAAACACGCCTTATGCTACGAGAGAACAAATGACCATGTGAATAGAAGTAGGCTCAACTAAGTTGTTCCACTATGTGTCTTCGTAGTTAAATAAGTAAATAAATAAATAAATAGATGAGAGAGATTTCTAACGAAATCATGTTTGCATTGTTCAGTATGTTGACTGGTCGCTAGACGGTAACCGATCTTGTTTCTCGACGATTCCATAGTTTGGCTACTTTACTTGTTGACATAAATTTCACGTTGTGTGTCTCCAACATCCCCCTGAACTGTTATTATTTAGATTCCAAAATAATACAGACTGCTCTCTGGAATGTAATGTGTCATGTCCTTGATGACATCATCGAAATTTCATTCATTGTCAATTAGTGTTTATTATATGTTCACAAATGTATTTGATTTACACTGGACGTCGTTTGTATAGAAGGGAGAAGAAGAAGAAGAAGAAATTGATGGCATTTCTACTGTACTTTCTTGTACTTTCTATGTTACTTAATATTCAGAAATGTCGGCTGTTTTCTTGCAAAGGAATAAACATTTTCGTATTATTGTTTAGAATTTAATGCCAGTCGGATTAATGTTCGATGTGAATATCACAGGAGGTGAAGAATGGTTGAATAGTTTAAATCTGACCAATTTATGTCGTTTCTATGATGTCAGTTTAACTACTCGTCCTACTAAATCAAGAGAATTTTGGAAGGTATGTGTTATTAATAAGTTTTATATTCTATTTTCCGAGTATATTTATATATGTATATACAGTCAAACATTTGAGACAAAATACACTCAGTAAATTTCATTAGAGTTTTCAAAATGGTCTTAACTTTGACATCGGAAAGCGCTGAACAACAGTGACACTTCAGGATCGAGTGTAGAATTTCAATTGAAATCATGATCATTGGATAATGTTTTCAGCATTTGAAAGGAATTCCGCTGGCTATGAATCTCACAGGCAACACCAGCCAGCTCACACGAGATGCACATATATTTAGTTGGTGACTTCCGAATAGAAGGAAGCACACTTCCTCGATTCAACTGATAGCCACTGTCAACCAACTGTCAACATCATTTTAAGCTTAAGGTAGCGTTCAAGTGTCTGTACTTGAAGCTGACATGTCGACAGAAGCTAATCATCTCGGTCGAATAAAATTAGTCGACAGGAATTTCAAAGTGACAACTTGAACAAATTACCATTCATCTATCGATGTGAAATGAAATCTGAGAGCTTATACCAGTTTGCTTTACTTTATAGAATGATGCTCCTTCAGCTTTTGTTTTGTTGAACTGTATATTTAAGGTTAATGAAAAGCTTTTCGAATACGTGTGTTGGAAGGAGTTTTGTCGAAGTTACCTGTGATTGAAACTCTACGAAGAAAAACATACTCAATGAATATAAATACCCAGAAGGATTTATTTATTTATTCACTAATCTGTAATTCGATGGAAGTGAATGAATTCACTCCACTAGAAAGAATAATTATTAGGCGTGAGTGAAGATGTGACATTAGTCAGAGAACCACTGAACCACTGAAATACAAGAAGTACTAGATAGCTATTTTCCATCACTGTAGCTCGAGACTCCTCTTCAGAAGTACTCACAAGTGACCACATCACAGAAATAACTCACTACCTTCGTGAGTAGTCATCCAGCTCTGTTCCACTGGTTAAATCTTAACGTATTCGCCTTGTGTGTTGGCTCCTGACGTGATCTCATTTGAAATCAGTCGAAGCTTCACCAAGCTAAGATTAAAACATTATTTGGTAGTGTTTCTCTTTGAAAATAAATACAAACTAATTTTCAACTAATTTTAATTCATGTTCGAGTTCATCATCATGTGACTAATTTTAATAGATAGTTAAAACTATTGAGACATTCATTTATAAACTGGATACTGTTGAAGGAAACTTCCGTTGGAATCAATGAGTGGGTAAAATATTTCTACTCGAGTCTATTCATTTGTCAAGTGAACCCTGAATACTTGAGAAGCGCTTCTGAAATGCAGTAAGAATTTCATACAAAAATGATTCACCGAAATCACATATAAACAAATATTCCTTCTTCAAATGAAATCCTCCTTCCAATGTCTGACTAGTGGGAAAAGAATATTCCTTTTTTTATAACCTATCCATCACGTCTCAGGGGTTGGTTATATATCCCAATTAGTTAAAGAATACGCGTCGTTGACAACATCAGTGTGTTTGGTTTTTCTTTAACTAATATCAAATGACTGAGGTGAGTAGATTAGAGTTGGAACATGTGAAAGTGATAATAGGCATAAATATAGTACTAGGAAATAAAAGCATCTCCCGTGGAAGTGTAGTAATAAATGACGGGTGTGAGGAACTGATTGATTCATGACGGTAGGTTACACCCGAAAAGTGTAACGTGATGTGTTGTTCACGAACCGATGGAGAGTGGAGCGAACCTGGGTAAGATTACTGGCTGTACTTGACTCCCCTTTGTGAATGAAGTCTCGGCTATTATAGACGAAGAAGAGGTTATAGAAAAGAATCTTTTTTCTCTGCAATCAGTAATTTGAAAATTTTATCGTGCACCTTTCGATATCCACTACTACTACTATACTACTACTACTAATTCGTTTGTAGGCGTTTAGCTTCAGAGCGTTCTCATTCCACTTCTGACTTTTCATGAACTCAAATAGTAAGTACATGTCTTAGTTATGCAGTGAGTGTAGAGATAAATGTTGGATTCGTGAGTCTACAAACCAATCATTTGTCATTTGTTAACTTTCAACATTGATTTCAATTTACTCATTATTGGAGTTCTTCAAATCTTTTGACTCTTGAATCATATCATTCCTAATATTATTTTACAGACTGTTGCACTAAGAACAACAGAGAGAAATATTAGTTCAATGTATATTGTGTGTCGAAGAATACGAGATTTATTATTAGACAATGGTAAGTTGAATCCCTATGGTTATTACTATTATTTATAAATTTATAAACATTACTATTACTAGATATTTAGTGTTTATTATTTCTACTTGGTGATATGAAAAAGGACCTAAAGATCTGACTGGATGACGATTATTTTTACCAAGAAATTATTTTCAGTTTCACTTGTCGTCATCATGATGATGATGGCCAGGTAATCAGAGGGTATATTTGCACGTGGAATGTGATCGCAGATTCTAAATCGAAACTCGGAATATATCGAGAAAGGAATATCCTTTCTTCAAACGGACTCATAATTCATGATATAGAAATATTTTGAAATTCTAAACCACAAGATGTCATGTTTCAAAAATGTTCTTATAGAAAGGCGTGAATCACACTGTACTTTTATAATTTTCTCTTCATCTTAAGTCATCGATCAATAATGCTGAAACCATAATGTGTGTTATACCAAAATATTTTTTGTCTGAAGTCAGCTTTTAGAGACCGAATCTACTCACAATTTATCTGTCTGTCTGATGTGCCCACATTCGATCTTGTCAGTCTGTAGTCAGACAAAACAAATCACATGTAAAATGATGGACGTCAACCAATCAGAATCCAGCACGTAATGAAGGCCTGATATTCAACCCTTTGATTGGATCAATAAGTATCACATTTTTCTGTAACCATAGCCGCTCTTAGCTCTCACATGTTTGGAAATTCGCGCCCCCTACCTTGTTGACCTTCTGGATTTCACAGGTTCGAGTCAGGGTATAATTTATCAGGAAATTGTCCAGTGTTCACTATCTTAAATCAGCATTCGTATGTCTACTCGACGACGTCATAACAGAGACGTATAGAAAGTTATTGAGAGTTGTCACCAGAAGGTTTCGTAGTTTACAGTCACACTAGGGCTGTTTTTTACTGGGTGGGACGACTAGCCGCACCTCCAAGCTTCCATTCCTTACTAGGCCTGAAATGAGGCCCCGGAAGCTTAACAAGAGATTGCAGATTCGTGGGTGAAAAGGAGGCAAATGCCTCAGGATTGAAAATTTGTGTGACAGTTCGTGAGAATCACGAAATCAGAGTTATCACGGTTATTATTAATAAGACCAAGCAAAGATAGTAAAAATGAGCGATTACTATGGACGTTATTAATCCCGACCGATAGCTGCTACCTTGGCGTGGTGGTCGGGCTTGCACATCGCGATGGTCCAACAAATTACACTGGCTGGAACCAATGTTCCTTCAGGTTGTTAGGATAGCCATTAGGCTAAAAGCAGTGTCAGAAAGATTCTTACACTATGCTGGGGATCTGTGGGCGAAGTCGTACAGCTGGGGAACAGTGGTGTGACAGCAGTGAGATGTTCCATTCACATGACTAGCATGCCAGTCAGTTAAGTTGTCTCTCCACTCTGGACAGACAGGGCTAGAAAAAATCGAGTCAAACAATTCTACATCCCGACTGACCCTACGGTGGTCCGTAACCGGCGGTGAGTTTACTAATACGGAATAAATCCCAGAAACCAATTCATACAAGCCTTCTGTGACCAGTCTCAAGCAGTTGTCCCCTGGGCTCTGCAGTCACGCAACACTCTTTCTGTTTCAGGTTCCCGAAGAATCAATCAACTTCCACAGTGTGGGCAGCCGGGAAGTAACAACCGCCTACACACTTCCAAAAGCACACGAAGCCTTCCTGAGCATCACTCTTCCTTACTCACATCACCTTCCTCATCCTGCTTCTCTACTACAGTTAGCACTATTCTGCAGGCTAGCGAGCCATCTTCACTCCACTCTGTGTCCACAAACAAAGGTGAGAGCCATAGAAACACCCCAGATAGCCTTTTCAGAGCCACGTCGCCTACTTCATATAGGAGCTTTTAACGTCAGGACCCTCTGCCATATCGGACAAAATGCATAACTAGCAAGAATTCTGGAATCTAGAGCCATGGATGTATGTTGTGTTTCGGAGACACGCATACAGGACCCGAGTGTGGTCATTCATTTAACCTCATTCGGTCAACAAGATGAATCTGAAAAATTGACACAGAGGGTGTCAGGAGACCCAATAGCTAGCTCGCGAGGACTCGCAGGTGTAGGGATAGCACTGAGTGTTAGGGCGGAAAAATCACTTCTTGACTGGATCCCGGTAAATAGCCGTATGTATGTGGTCTGTCTAAACGGGACCGTTAGAAGAAAGAAGGACGGCGTTACCCGTCGTTTCCTTTTCGTAGTCTCCGCTTACGCCCCAACAGACTGCAGTTCAGACGAACTAAAAGATGATTTCTACCTGAAACTGTCTAATTTGCTGCTAAAAGCAAAACGTTCATATATAGTTGTTTCAGCAGGCGACTTCAATGACCAAGTAGGGAAGTTTTGCCAGACTGAGAAGTATGTAGGTGGTACATATAGCGTTCCCTGCTGACGAACCGACAACGGTGATCGTCTTCTACAGTTTTGCTCAGATAATCATCTGTTCCTAGTCAGCACTAACTTTAGGCACAAAGAGAGACACTGCGTAACCTGGCCACCTCCATCACCAAATCAACGCTGGACTCCGATAGACCAGACCACATGGCGATAGGGTATGGTTGGCGAGGGTCGGCAGAAGACTGCCGCTCCTTCTGGAACACGTGTGTAGACTTTGGTCACCCTCTGATTCGCGCACGTTTATGCTTACGACTAGACGGACATAAAAATTTGTTGGCAGCGAAACAGTTACGTCCCCAACTAGATCGAGACCCTGAGCCCCTATTTAAGCAGGAAATAGCGAAACGTCTTATCTGAGGTCGACAGCAGGACTCCTCCTGAGGTAGCCTCGCACAACATACAGTTAGCTGTAGACACAGCTGTAAAAGCTGTTGATAAGATAAAACCAGAAGTTAGTAAGAGCTATTGGATCTCTACCGCCTCATCCGAACTGATTGACGCAAGAAGACTGATTCCGGCGAGCTCCGATTATGATGAGGAGCGAAAGCTACTCAAACGAAAACCAACAAGAAGTCTTCGAAACGACCGTGAACAGTGGTGAGCGATAAGAGCGAGAGAGCTGGAAAAGGCATCGGCGATTGGTAACACCAGACAACTATTTAGGCTTATCAAGGAAACAGGTGGTAAAAGGCAAATGATAAGTGAAACAATCTCTAAGGGAAATGGCACCATAATCAGCACCCAGGATAGACAACTGGAACGCCGGAAAGAACACTTTGAGGAGCAATTCAATTGGCCTACAGCCACGCTCAACTTACCGAACATCCAACACCTCCCTGAATGGGATATAGACACAGGTCCAGTGTCCCTAACTGAGGTTACTAAGGCTGTCACTAGTCTGAAACAAGGCAAAGCAGAAGGACTTGATGGAATAACTCCATACGTATTTAAGTACTGTGGAGACAGTTTACTGCCTGCATTAACTGCGATTCTAGGCAGCACCTGGGAATCAGAGGAAGTCCCATCGTGTTGGTGTAATTCACTGATTATACCCATATACAACAAGGGAGACAAGTCTTTCTTTAGTAATCACAGGGCGACGTGCTTGACTAATTTAGTATCCAAAGTCCTAGGCTAAATAATATTGCGTAGACTAAGTGGTTTTCGGGAGAGAAACAGGCAAACTTTAGACTAGTAGGAGGGTGTATTGATCATATCTACACCCTTCGACAGATTCTGGAACACAGGTGGCATTCTTACTGGTGTCAAATAATGGTTATATTTCTTGACCTAAAGGCGGAATTCCATTCTGTCGACCGAGAGGTTCTTAGGCGATGCCTGAGTGTAAAGAGAATTCGGAGGAAACACATTGGCTAGGGGTCGCGCTATTTCGTCAATTGGCAGAAGTTAGAATTCATGGGCCATTGGGTCGGGTCCCAGAGGCGTAATGGTATACGAGCTCGCTAGCCTTGTAACCAGAAGGTCCCGGGTTCGAGTCCTGGTGGGTGCGTACTGTGAAGAGTCACAAACTAGGACGAAACAGCTGTCCAGTACTCCCAGGTTTTCCAATGGTTCTCCAACTAATGGCAGCTCATGATGAAATCCTGAAAATATATTGCACTGATCATGGCACTCACTCTACTCGAACTCATGCAGTCAGTCAGGTGAGGGCATACGGCCGGTTGTCATCTGAAGTGGTGACAGCTAGTGGTGTCCGTCAAGGATGCCCACTATCCCCATTTCCATCCAGAGTCTTATGAACACCTTGAGCACCAAACTCCGAATGTTTGGCATGCGATTCGCTCCCACTAAATGTAAGATGATGAGGCCAAAGGACTGGACTACACTGACTCCTAGTTTAGAAATAGGGAGTGAAGTGATAGAGCACGTTGACCGCTTCACTTACTTGGGAAGTACCATCAGCCAGTGCCAACGGGTTGATCTCTGACGAAATCTCAGCACGGATACAGAGGGCTCGTTTCGCATATGCCAGTTTACGCCGTCTCTGGCTTAGTAGACGAGATATCCGGCTGGCAATCCACCAAAAGACGGGTGTAATGCTCATCAGTCCTCTCCGTCCTCCTTTATGCCTGACTGGCTGTGAGACCTGGCCATTGAGAGTAGAAGACATGAAAAGATTAGCTGTCTTTGATCATAGGGACCTGTGCTCCATCTCCCGTGTGAAATGGTATAATAGGATGGACAATATTAAGGTTAGGCATTGGTCGAGTCCCAGGTTAGGAGGAAGGGGAAATCAATCGACGAGGCTGTCAAATTACATCGACTGAGATGGTTAGGACATGAGTTACGTAGACTTCCTGGTTGATGCCCGCGGGATGGTGAAAACCAATGGTTAGAAACAATTGGTGACATGGCTCGAAATCGTTCTCAATGGCTGGTGCAGATGCATCCACTCCTTGTACCTTATGATTTCAAATGAAACTATATCTTGCTTTGTGTGCTCCATGGAGTGTGGCGACTTGAACAGCTGCACGTTGGTTCTATGTCGAACACAGACAGGCAGACATTATTAATCAATGTCAGTTCGAATGATGACTGGAAGCTCGTGAATCCAAGCTAATTACGGGTCATTTATTATGGGTCTTCACAGACTTTTTCATGAATTCTGATAAGAAGTCATCCAGAAGTAATGTTTTTCTTGTTTATTTGATTTCATTAATTAAATCTGAACTATCAAGTCTTGACCTACCTCCAACGATTTTCGGTATGACGGACCCCGTCTACATACTGATTAAAATATGACAGTTGTCTATAAATGATAATGCTGCCATGTAAATAAAGGACAGGCGTCGGAAATTCTAGGTAGGATCCTCGATAAGACTAAAGACAAGGTGACATTCAAAGTGGAGACAAATTTTATCGGTTCAGAGACCCAATAGATCGAATTAGGAAGAATAATGTAGTTTACGAAATAACATGCAATAACTGAGAAATGAATTCTATACATGAGACTAGGAGGACGGTGTTAGTTATATTATCGGAGAATCTCATTTCTTGTACATCTGATCAGCTAACGTCGTCAGCTAACCTGAAACACGGTGTGGACGTTGTCTGTACCTCAGCCTAATTTTGCTTTCGTGGTGAGAACAATTATTGGTCAACTGGCTTCCCGGACTCTTTCACACACTGTTACATCCATCGTGGGATTGTCGCGTCTTCCTGATTTCGGGAAACAATAAGTTTATTTTTCCTGTGCTTCGGATTTCTCCTGAGGAGATTGGGGGCGGGTGTCTTTCATGACGATTGTTTCTTCATTTATGGTTTAAGGACTGGTCAGTAAATTAGGTGAGATTTGAAACAAATAATTAGTATATGCATCAAAGGCCGAATTATTTCGAAACTCGTATCATTGTATAGGCATGATTAGTCAGAATTGTTTACTTACTCATACTGATTGTATATTGTACATTGAAATATTTATTTATTTATTTATTTATTGTCCTTTACACTACAACAAAAGCAATCGACAATAGTATTTATGCTTCGAAATCTTTAAATTCAGAGAGCTATCAACTAAATTCAGATAAATTATGGCCGAATGATATTTTCAAGTCGAACAATCAATACAAAGAGGTAGAAAGATTTTCAAATAGGTGAGTCAGTCAGATCTTGTAGGCATATTTGCAAATTACATGTTTCACAAGTCCATTAAATAATCCAGAAAATATTACGACTACGTTTTACTGACTCATCATGATATTATTCAGTTGAAATGAAAAGAAGCACGATGACAACTAGATCTCACAACAATAGTGAAGTGTATTCATTTTTGAGTAGATTTTACTATTATCATCATCATCATCATTTTTATTATTACAAGTAGTAGTCGTCCTTCGTTGCTTTGTGTACCCAGTGGAACATAGTGCTGACTTCAGGCTAGAGCATTGAAGTTTCATTAGGAGTGGTTTTATTTCTACGGGATGGTGGTTGCTAGCCTCACTCCTAACCTTCCCTCTTTACAGGGATTTCTACAGGCTGAGTGAGTTGAAGGAGTGCATCAGCTGTGTACGAAACCCGTGCCGCTTACTAGATTGGTCAGCCGCCTACTTCTGAACCACTGACGTACCACGGTGGCTCAATGGTCTTCTAGACTGACTAGTAACTGGAAATTCGCGAATCCGAACCTCGGCGCCTCCACATTTATCAACAATCCACAAAAAAACCACGAAACAACCATTTGAGGACGGAAATTTAACGAGATGTATGTAGGGAGAGAGAATGCAGAAACTGCAGAATATGATTGATTCCATGTTTGATTAGCTGATTTGATATCACAGAATGTGATACAGTGCTAATGGCTGAATGGTGTCTCGAGAAGAATTTATCGCCTATCATCGTATCAGTGAGTTAACAAGACTTCACAACTTGCTCTGTAAAACCTAACTCCTGTTTTTATTTATAATTTTCCGGACACCTATACTTTCAAAACATCCTCTGTAATGAACAACGCTGAGGCTAGTCAGTGAACATTTTTCTCTATAAAACATTTCCTTTCATGTATAACTGTGTGTGTAGAAATGCTTAGTTTTCACTGACGATGAATTCAGTATGACTGGAGTGACTGGCTAGTGAAAAGTGCAGAGGAGAACATTAATTGATACTATGAATTGTCTTCACAGTGGATCTGTGCCTTGATGAGAGTATGTAAAATAACCTTGGAATGACAGACAGGTATAAATGTCATAGGTGATGACTGAAGTTGGCCCGTTGATTTAAACCATGGCAAGATATAAATCAGCGTACTGCAGATCACTAAGATGGCTGTTGTTATTTCGCAGTGTGTGCGTGTATGCCAGTTTGTATGTTTGTGTGTGTGTGCGTGTGTGTGTGCGTAGAGTGTGTTGTCCAATAACTGTTTTTTCTACTCTCCAGTGTTTAAACTACTTTTTCTAGTGAGCGTCTTGTATGCATTCTTGTATGTGTGTAGTATTTATCCATGTTGCATTGATGTGTGCGTGTATGCCTCTTTCTATGCATGTTTGTGTGTGTGTGTGTTTGTGTGTGTGCGTGTGTGTGTGCGTGCGTGCGTGAATGTCCGCTATGAGATCATAAGGAGAAATTAAATCAATGTACTTTTTCATTAGCCTGTTTATCTACTCCACATTGCTGTATACACACTGTTTATTCATATTATAAGCAAGTATTGATTATTTTTAACGCTTAGTCATCATCTTCTATCTAACATGTCGATTTGAAAGTGTTAAAACGTTTACTTCCCACATTGTGTTTATGTACACTTTTGTTTCCAACGTCAAATCAACAAACATAAAAAAATTGTTTGGTTTATGACAAAAGTGTGTGCGTCAGTCATAGCGGTTAGGACGCTCTCCGACCATGCACATGGTCCGAAGTTCGATTGGCGACCACCGACTCACTCCCTTACCTCGCTAAGCCAGAAGTAATGCTGGTAAAGAGGAAAGGTTGGGAATGAGGCTAGCAACCCCATCCTGTAACACTGAACACTGCTACAGAAACTTCTAGCCACTAGCTTGAAGCCCTATGTTCCACTGGGGAACGTGAAGGAAAGAAATGATAAAAATGTTGTTTTTTCTATTTTGAATCAGTTACTATGGTTTCCCACTCATTCTTGTTGGAAAACAGTCACCATGATATCACAGATAAATAAATTAAGTGACACAAAGATGAAGCAACAGTCACAAGGAATCGTTGTCAAATACTAAGTCGATTCAAGCATGAAACTATGGATCTGCAATTATTTATGTTCTCTGAGCTTGTTGGTTCAATTGGGGAGCTTTCTTCCTCCTTCTGGACAACATGCCCCCCTTTCAGCGCAAGCTTTAGCATGAAATCAACTGATTTCAATTCTCTGTGAATGACAGGATTGTGTCTCCTGCTGGTGACTATCTTCATGACTGCCAGTCGACTTATATCTGTTTTGATCATTTCTATTGACTTGGATTTTGAACTTTCTCGTCACATGATTTACTCTTTATTACTTGGTAGATTTGGTCTATGTTAGCATGTTTGTTAATTGCGTATTCGGTTTCCACAATATCAAACAAAGTGATCGCGCTGGCTGACTTGTGTGCTATATCTATTTCAAACGGTTTCAATATTCTAGCTAGTATTTCAGAGATATTTTTTATATATGGCAGGATGAATTTTCTTGTGTTCCTTGATGATTGTTTCTTGTTGGTGTTGTGACTCGACTTTAAACACTTCTGATGAAATTGTGAGGATGTCCATTATTTTTGAAGACGGTAGGTGGGTATTTGTCGTGGATTCTCTCTCCTCAACACTAGAGTGCTGCAGTTTGTTTCAACTCTTTTAAACAATGTCTGCAGACAGTTTCTTTTGTAGGTGATTGGGTCATTGCTAATGTAGCTGAGTATTTAGTCTATGCGCGTTGATTTTCTATATAGTTGTATTTCTAAATTTCCTGTGTTAGTTCTCCTGAAGATGTTTTCCAGCAGGACGACGAAAGCTCCACGATTAAAACAACCGCCTCAGAGAACACAACTAGTTGCAAATCATCCACGTGAGCTACAAATATTCTCTATTATTTCCAAACGCTGATCGTATTCTCAGTGGGTTTTCTGCCCAATGGATCATCATAATCTCCGGGGTAATAATTCTACAGCCATGAGAAGGATGGTCTGCGTTTAATGAGTTATGAATCCAGTGCAGAATGGCAATTGAAATCTGACAGTATTGTAACCGATAACAATAGAATATGGAAAGGATATGACGATTTCAATCGAAGCCTCAATATACAAACAAATGAAATGTATGTCTTCTAGTTGCAGTGTATTTTGAAAACAAGTTATTTTTACTTTCAGTTTGTTAGTTTGTATCTTTATGCTTCATAGTAAATTACCGGATATACATATATATTGAGTATTGATGCTTAGTCATTTGACTATGAGAGTTTAGTGACTTTTATGGGGTTTTGACAGACCGAGTATTATAGATGTTTCTGAAGTAACTGTGTGGTGTGTAGGGATTTGATTTGTGTCAAGGTAGGTTACTATGCGAGCTGACAGGATTTATAGATCCACTGAAAATCAGGGAGCACCAGACACTGGTCACGACTTCTCACTGAAACTCCAGGAAGTATATCCTGTGGCCAGTAGTCACTAGAAAATTATTCCACTATTGATTTGTGACTTTGAGATGGTCTTCGTGGAGTTCCACTTAGAAGTCGTGATTTGTGGAATAGATACTCGTGAGTGGTATGGAAGCTAATTCGTGGTTGGAGAGAAGTTAGAATTCACGGATCATTGGAGTACAGCCGGATGGCTGGATAGCCAATGGGCTGACATCGTAAGCTGTTTTGCTCATGGGTGCACGGAAGCCAGCAGGGACAAACAAAATCTATCCAATGCTCTCTGTCCATCTCATCCATATGTATATGCATATAAAGTATACTTGATTTCCTTAATAACTGGGGAATTCACCTGTCGTTATCTATAGTCACCAGTGTCTGTTTGTCCGCGAATATGACACAGTGAACTCCGAAACCAATGACACCTCATAAGACCACTGAAAACCCGACCCGGGATAAATTGTTGGATTTGTGAAATTTCGATTTCTAGTTGATGTGGCTGTCACGAGATTGATGAGTCAATATCGAGACGTTTTTTCATTGTACTGTGGTGACTGGATTGTAATGGGAAATCTTAACATAGGTGATGACTTCTGAGATACACGTAAGTAATTTTGAGGATAGGTACTCTTCAACGACATTAGTTTGAATTGAGTCGTATCTCGAATTTACGGTAGTTGGGATTCACACCTAATGGGATGGAGGTCGGTAACTGGATTCTAATGCACTTCTCTCATGGTCTGAAGGTCTTAGGATGGACTCTGATTGGCGTCACAAAAGGAGGAAGAAACAACTGAGTGTCGGTCTTCAGTTGTCAGGGGAATACTAACTAAAATCAGTCCGAATCCCTAGAAATTCAAAAGTGAAGACTATTTTGTGTTTATTTACTTTACAATGTAGGCATATTCGTGAATTACAAGATATTAATTCATTAATGCAGTATCTTAAATCATTCATTCAGATGACACAAATGAACTCTTATTTTATATGACATTCGTTGTTCATGTTTTGAAGCTACGCTAAGCATGAGAAATTTCTGTCTGATTTCTTTGAAAAATATTCATTCACATTTAGTTATACAAAGATGGATGACAAGCCTTCTACACAAACAAGAAGCATTTTGACAAATCGTAACATTCAAAACAACAGTTACAATATTCCAGGAAGAATGTTAAAATCCTTCAATTATGAATAATAAAAAAACGGTAAGGTGTGCATTCTAATAATAATAATAATAATAATGACAATTATTCATTTCATAGCCTAAAAGCAGTTTCCAAAATCTGCTCTCGCTTTAATTTCGGAACTTGAATAAAACACAATCCAATAAGTTAAACTGAGATGCATAATGATGCATAATGGGCAGAGAGAGAGACAAATAAAATAAGAGAGAGGATGGATGATACACTGTTAACACTTATTGTTAGAAGAAAGACTGAGTTGGAGACTTTCATGCTGTGGGACATAATTATTGCCTTGACGGACAATCCTAGTATCGTTTGGTATTTATACACCTATTCAACTACAACACAATTCACATTTTTATGTCAAATCGTGTTGATTAATTTACTTATTATTATGTGTTATAATACGTCGTTATTAAGTGAATAACATGTACTTAGAGTAATCCACTGATAAGTGACATGCACACAGAATGAACTCATTAAGTTCTGCTTTCTTAACGTCTGTTTCTTGTTTTTAATTCGATCGAATAGAGAAATAATTATTTCTAATATCTCCTAACTAGATGATGGTGACAACAAAAACTTAATATGCTGTATTGTCAACAAGTTAAATTCCAGGAGAAAACGTCTATACACAACGTGAAATTAATGTCAACAAGTAAAGTAGCCAAACTGTGGAATCGTCGAGAAACAAGATCGGTTACCGTCTAGCGACCAGTCGACATACTGAACAATGCAAACATGATTTCGTTAGAAATCATTCTCATCTATTTATTTATTTATTTACTTATTTAACTACGACGACACATAGTGCGAGCAACTTAGTTGCGTCTACTTCTATTTACATGGTCATTTGTTCACTCGTAACATAAGGCGTGTTTCTAAGTTATTCAAAGACGACGTATTATCAATGAGATCGAATTCACATTCACTTTTCACCATGGTTTCGAATACTTTAACCAACACATCTCATGTTACAAGATTTCATCATCAACTGACGTCGGTTACAGAAGCATTGAAGAAGATGGCAGTACTGGACAGCTGTCTCGTCCTACTTTGACACTCTGTAGTGGTACGCACCAGCCACCAGGATTCGGATCCAAGACATTCACTCTATCGAATTATTTATTGGCATTTGACCAATAAATAAATAAATAAATAAATAGAGAGACTCTCAGATAGACAGATAGATAGACGGATTGGCCAACGTGGAACGCTCTCTACCAACTGACGATTTCATCTCGAATTATCAAAATGGGTGTAAAAACTGGTGTGATTGTAAAGACCATGATGGGCAAATACACCAGTCATCTGTCGTACACTCAGATTCCTGCTCAAATGACTTGAAAAGAAATTAGACAGTCACCTACTCAATTCAACTGAATAAATAAAGAAAGAAACAAGTGAATACACAGTGTAAGACAGGATATACTCCCCCATAGCTACATTTTCATCCGTGACATCTAATCGCCGTCAAGATAATGATGCTTGGATGGTAGGTGATTCAGGGAATTCGGAAAATAAAAACAAAAACAATTTAAGTGAAGCCGACATTTTACTCAGTTATTCACATGAAACAAATGAGAGGTCAGGTTGGATGTGCAGCTAGAAACTACACCAAGGAAGCCAGTCAGTCCACCGATAATGATGATGAAAGCAAAAGTAAGCGTAAGAACAGAGAATGTACGTACCGTGAATCGATCTCGTTGACGTGGCTGTCGAGACTTAACAAGATGTGAGTAGATAACAATAAGCGTATATCCTAGGTCCACAGCTTGTTCCCAATCGCCTCCAACAACCGAAAATGAAGCCGAACAAACAGTAACTGATTGAAAATTGAAAAAACAACATTTTTATCATAAACCAAATAATTTATATATATATTTTTTCTTGATTTGACGTTGGAAACAAAAGTGTACATAAACACAAAGTGGGAAGTAAATATAGTGAGTGAAAGAAAACATTTGAATATATATCAATATTTCTCCTTGTGTCTGTGTGTGTTCACTCGCGTTATCATATATATCTCCATTATATCCTTTCCTTTATTCTCACGTATCACAACGTGTCACAACGACTGTATGTCGCATTATCATTCAGTTGCATTGAAAATAATTGTCTCTTAATCAGAATTCTTTACTCATGTTTAAATTATTAATAGCTGGTCCAGCGATCGATCCACAGTTGCCCACTCCTGAACCACCTCGCCCCGTTAAAACAATGAACCACTGCCACTGAACCACTTCGAAATTCAAGCTCAAAGTCCTATCTTCCACTCTTAACGCAAAGGAATAAAGTTAAATAGAAACTAAGTATCATCAAGTGTTTGAACTGTGAATTACAAGTTATGCGTAGATTAATTATTCAGAAATGATAAACATCACAATGCCTAATATAATTTAGTCTAAATTGACGTTTCCATGAGAAACGATACTAGGATTGTCCGTCAAGGCAATAATTATGTCCCACAGCATGAAAGTCTCCAACTCAGTCTTTCTTCTAACAATAAGTGTTAACAGTGTATCATCCATCCTCTCTCTTATTTTATTTGTCTCTCTCTCTGCCCATTATGCATCATTATGCATCTCAGTTTAACTTATTGGATTGTGTTTTATTCAAGTTCCGAAATTAAAGCGAGAGCAGATTTTGGAAACTGCTTTTAGGCTATGAAATGAATAATTGTCATTATTATTATTATTATTATTATTATTATTATTATTAGAATGCACACCTTACCGTTTTTTTATTATTCATAATTGAAGGATTTTAACATTCTTCCTGGAATATTGTAACTGTTGTTTTGAATGTTACGATTTGTCAAAATGCTTCTTGTTTGTGTAGAAGGCTTGTCATCCATCTTTGTATAACTAAATGTGAATGAATATTTTTCAAAGAAATCAGACAGAAATTTCTCATGCTTAGCGTAGCTTCAAAACATGAACAACGAATGTCATATAAAATAAGAGTTCATTTGTGTCATCTGAATGAATGATTTAAGATACTGCATTAATGAATTAATATCTTGTAATTCACGAATATGCCTACATTGTAAAGTAAATAAACACAAAATAGTCTTCACTTTTGAATTTCTAGGGATTCGGACTGATTTTAGTTAGTATTCCCCTGACAACTGAAGACCGACACTCAGTTGTTTCTTCCTCCTTTTGTGACGCCAATCAGAGTCCATCCTAAGACCTTCAGACCATGAGAGAAGTGCATTAGAATCCAGTTACCGACCTCCATCCCATTAGGTGTGAATCCCAACTACCGTAAATTCGAGATACGACTCAATTCAAACTAATGTCGTTGAAGAGTACCTATCCTCAAAATTACTTACGTGTATCTCAGAAGTCATCACCTATGTTAAGATTTCCCATTACAATCCAGTCACCACAGTACAATGAAAAAACGTCTCGATATTCACTCATCAATCTCGTGACAGCCACATCAACTAGAAATCGAAATTTCACAAATCCAACAATTTATCCCGGGTCGGGTTTTCAGTGGTCTTATGAGGTGTCATTGGTTTCGGAGTTCACTGTGTCATATTCGCGGACAAACAGACACTGGTGACTATAGATAACGACAGGTGAATTCCCCAGTTATTAAGGAAATCAAGTATACTTTATATGCATATACATATGGATGAGATGGACAGAGAGCATTGGATAGATTTTGTTTGTCCCTGCTGGCTTCCGTGCACCCATGAGCAAAACAGCTTACGATGTCAGCCCATTGGCTATCCAGCCATCCGGCTGTACTCCAATGATCCGTGAATTCTAACTTCTCTCCAACCACGAATTAGCTTCCATACCACTCACGAGTATCTATTCCACAAATCACGACTTCTAAGTGGAACTCCACGAAGACCATCTCAAAGTCACAAATCAATAGTGGAATAATTTTCTAGTGACTACTGGCCACAGGATATACTTCCTGGAGTTTCAGTGAGAAGTCGTGACCAGTGTCTGGTGCTCCCTGATTTTCAGTGGATCTATAAATCCTGTCAGCTCGCATAGTAACCTACCTTGACACAAATCAAATCCCTACACACCACACAGTTACTTCAGAAACATCTGTAATACTCGGTCTGTCAAAACCCCATAAAAGTCACTAAACTCTCATAGTCAAATGACTAAGCATCAATACTCAATATATATGTATATCCGGTAATTTACTATGAAGCATAAAGATACAAACTAACAAACTGAAAGTAAAAATAACTTGTTTTCAAAATACACTGCAACTAGAAGACATACATTTCATTTGTTTGTATATTGAGGCTTCGATTGAAATCGTCATATCCTTTCCATATTCTATTGTTATCGGTTACAATACTGTCAGATTTCAATTGCCATTCTGCACTGGATTCATAACTCATTAAACGCAGACCATCCTTCTCATGGCTGTAGAATTATTACCCCGGAGATTATGATGATCCATTGGGCAGAAAACCCACTGAGAATACGATCAGCGTTTGGAAATAATAGAGAATATTTGTAGCTCACGTGGATGATTTGCAACTAGTTGTGTTCTCTGAGGCGGTTGTTTTAATCGTGGAGCTTTCGTCGTCCTGCTGGAAAACATCTTCAGGAGAACTAACACAGGAAATTTAGAAATACAACTATATAGAAAATCAACGCGCATAGACTAAATACTCAGCTACATTAGCAATGACCCAATCACCTACAAAAGAAACTGTCTGTAGACATTGTTTAAAAGAGTTGAAACAAACTGCAGCACTCTAGTGTTGAGGAGAGAGAATCCACGACAAATACCCACCTACCGTCTTCAAAAATAATGGACATCCTCACAATTTCATCAGAAGTGTTTAAAGTCGAGTCACAACACCAACAAGAAACAATCATCAAGGAACACAAGAAAATTCATCCTGCCATATATAAAAAATATCTCTGAAATACTAGCTAGAATATTGAAACCGTTTGAAGTAGATATAGCACACAAGTCAGCCAGCGCGATCACTTTGTTTGATATTGTGGAAACCGAAAGATCCAACAGAAAAAGAAGATAAAACTAATACCATCAAGAAAATAAATTGTATGTATGAATGTAACAGACATTACATCGGCCAAAGTGGGTGTCCCCTTCGAATCAGAATCCAGGAACATGATATGCATATTCTTCCATATCAATGCATGTAGATAATTATGGACATTAATTTTATTGGAATAATGTCGAAATTCTATACAGAGGAAATACCAAAAATGCCAGAGAATTCCTAGAAGCCCGGTACCCAAGCGAATACGCAATTAACAAACATGCTAACATAGACCAAATCTACCAAGTAATAAAGAGTAAATCATGTGAAGAGAAAGTTCAAAATCCAAGTCAATAGAAATGATCAAAACAGATATAAGTCGACTGGCAGTCATGAAGATAGTCACCAGCAGGAGACACAATCCTGTCATTCACAGAGAATTGAAATCAGTTGATTTCATGCTAAAGCTTGCGCTGAAAGGGGGGCATGTTGTCCAGAAGGAGGAAGAAAGCTCCCCAATTGAACCAACAAGCTCAGAGAACATAAATAATTGCTGATCCATAGTTTCATGCTTGAATCGACTTAGTATTTGACAACGATTCCTTGTGACTGTTGCTTCATCTTTGTGTCACTTAATTTATTTATCTGTGATATCATGGTGACTGTTTTCCAACAAGAATGAGTGGGAAACCATAGTAACTGATTGAAAATAGAAAAAACAACATTTTTATCATTTCTTTCCTTCACGTTCCCCAGTGGAACATAGGGCTTCAAGCTAGTGGCTAGAAGTTTCTGTAGCAGTGTTCAGTGTTACAGGATGGGGTTGCTAGCCTCATTCCCAACCTTTCCTCTTTACCAGCATTACTTCTGGCTTAGCGAGGTAAGGGAGTGAGTCGGTGGTCGCCAATCGAACTTCGGACCATGTGCATGGTCGGAGAGCGTCCTAACCGCTATGACACTGACGCACACACTTTTGTCATAAACCAAACAATTTATTTTTTTGTTGATTTGACGTTGGAAACAAAAGTGTACATAAACACAATGTGGGAAGTAAACGTTTTAACACTTTCAAATCGACATGTTAGATAGAAGATGATGACTAAGCGTTAAAAATAATCAATACTTGCTTATAATATGAATAAACAGTGTGTATACAGCAATGTGGAGTAGATAAACAGGCTAATGAAAAAGTACATTGATTTAATTTCTCCTTATGATCTCATAGCGGACATTCACGCACGCACGCACGCACACACACACAAACATACATAGAAAGAGGCATACACGCACACATCAATGCAACATGGATAAATACTACACACATACAAGAATGCATACAAGACGCTCACTAGAAAAAGTAGTTTAAACACTGGAGAGTAGAAAAAACAGTTATTGGACAACACACTCTACGCACACACACACACACACACACAAACATGCAAACTGGCATACACGCACACACTGCGAAATAACAACAGCTATCTTAGTGATCTGCAGTACGCTGATTTATATCTTGCCATGGTTTAAATCAACAGGCCAACTTCAGTCATCACCTATGACATTTATACCTGTCTGTCATTCCAAGGTTATTTTACATACTCTCATCAAGGCACAGATCCACTGTGAAGACAATTCATAGTATCAATTAATGTTCTCCTCTGCACTTTTCACTAGCTAGTCACTCCAGTCATACTGAATTCATCGTCAGTGAAAACGAAGCCTTTCTACACACACAGTTATACATGAAAGGAAATGTTTTATAGAGAAAAATGTTCACTGACTAGCCTCAGCGTTGTTCATTACAGAGGATGTTTTGAAAGTATAGGTGTCCGGAAAATTATAAATAAAAACAGGAGTTAGGTTTTACAGAGCAAGTTGTGAAGTCTTGTTAACTCACTGATACGATGATAGGCGATAAATTCTTCTCGAGACACCATTCAGCCATTAGCACTGTATCACATTCTGAGATATCAAATCAGCTAATCAAACATGGAATCAATCATATTCTGCAGTTTCTGCATTCTCTCTCCCTACATACATCTCGTTAAATTTCCGTCCTGAAATGGTTGTTTCGTGGTTTTTTTGTGGATTGTTGATGAATGTGGAGGCGCCGGGGTTCGGATTCGCGAATTTCCAGTTGATAGTCAGTCTAGAAGACCATTGAGCCACCGTGGTACGTCAGTGGTTCAGAAGTAGGCGGCTGACCAATCTAGTAAGCGGCACGGGTTTTGTACACGGCTGATGCACTCCTTCAACTCACTCAGCCTGTAGAAACCCCTGTAAAGAGGGAAGGTTAGGAGTGAGGCGAGCAACCACCATCCCGTAGAAATAAAACCACTCCTAATGAAACTTCAATGCTCTAGCCTGAAGCAAGCACTATGTTCCACTGGGTACACAAAGCAACGAAGGACGACTACTACTTGTAATAATAAAAATGATGATGATGATAATAATAGTAAAATCTACTCAAAAATGAATACACTTCACTATTGTTGTGAGATCTAGTTGTCATCGTGCTTCTTTTCATTTCAACTGAATAATATCATGATGAGTCAGTAAAACGTAGTCGTAATATTTTCTGGATTATTTAATGGACTTGTGAAACATGTAATTGGCAAATATGCCTACAAGATCTGACTGACTCACCTATTTGAAAATCTTTCTACCTCTTTGTATTGATTGTTCGACTTGAAAATATCATTCGGCCATAATTTATCTGAATTTAGTTGATAGCTCTCTGAATTTAAAGATTTCGAAGCATAAATACTATTGTCGATTGCTTTTGCTGTAGTGTAAAGAACAAATAAATAAATAAATAAATATTTCAATGTACAATATACAATCAGTATGAGTAAGTAAACAATTCTGACTAATCATGCCTATACAATGATACGAGTTTCGAAATAATTCGGCCTTTGATGCATATACTAATTATTTGTTTCAAATCTCACCTAATTTACCGGCCAGTCCTTAACCCGTAAGTGAAGAAACAATCGTCATGAAAGACACCCGCCCCCAATCTCCTCAGGAGAAATCCGAAGCACAGGAAAAATAGACTTATTGTTTCCCGAAATCAGGAAGACGCGACAATCCCACGATGGATGTAACAGTGTGTGAAAGAGTCCGGGAAGCCAGTTGACCAATAATTGTTCTCAACACGAAAGCAAAATTAGGCTGAGGTACAGACAACGTCCACACCGTGTTTCAGGTTAGCTGACGACGTTAGCTGATCAGATGTACAAGAAATGAGATTCTCCGATAATATATAACTAACACCGTCCTTCTAGTCTCATGTATAGAATTCATTTCTCAGTTATTGCATGTTATTTCGTAAACTACATTATTCTTCCTAATTCGATCTATTGGGTCTCTGAGCCGATAAAATTTGTCTCCACTTTGAATGTCACGTTGTCTTCAGCCTTATCGAGAATCCTACTTAGGACTTATTAATAATCATAATAATAATAAGATTTTTGTCATGTAATGTCCCTTCTAATTTGTGGTAACTTTTCAAAGAAATTACTAGCGGTAAGCGATATACTTCTGTCCCATCTCTTAATGT